CTCTGCTGGTTGCAAAGATCATACTAATTTTGGGAGAAAAATACAGGATTAGTAAGGGGTTACAATACCATCTATACAGCCTGCACTGGGGGTGCACTGGGGCCCTGGTCTAGTGCTAGTGGGCACAGAGAGCTGCTACTTCTGACCTGGTGTCACCACTATTTCCTGTTAAGCACTGTTCATTTCCACTTACAGACATCTCTCTGAGATATTTTCTGAAATGTTCTAAGTAGCAGGCTGCTCTACATTGTTTATTTTGTAAATCATGTCTCACAGCATGATCCTGGCCATCAGCTAAGATAATTTGTTTTTCTGCTTGCTAGAAGCACTGTGAGGCAGGGAAAAATCCTCTCAATGGAGAGTTGTTTTTATCTGCCTTCAGACTTTGCTAGTGTCTTGCAGTTTGACTTGCAGATCTCTCTGCCTGACTTGAGTGTAATACTTAGACTCAATGATAAATAACTTTTTTTCTTGCAAACTTCTTTGCAATGTGGAATTTACTGATGATTCCTTGGTCCTTTCTAAAGCTGATAATTGCTACTTATTTAACTTGTGGTTGATTTGCACCCTCTTGGGAATGCTAACGTCCCTGAAAATAACAGGGCAGAAGGTTTAGTCTTGATGATTTGCTTTTCATTTTCCAAGTTTTGTAGGGTTTAATTTATGACTGTTGACTACCAGAGCATTGGTCTTCATATGGTGGTGTGTATGTGTGACTCCAAAGGCATGCATGTGGATATCAGTTTTTAACTATTTAGCTGTTGTGTAAGACAAACTCTTCTTTTTTTTTAACTTAGAAAAAGGGAGCGTTGCAGAAATTTTCTGAGTGCTTACACTGGGAAGTTAAGCCAATCAACAGCCATTGTAATAGATTGTATTGAAAAAGTTAGGTGCATTCCTGCTCATTACTGCCTGCTATAGTTAGTTTGATTAGTTTAGGTTTGGAGTTGGTTAATGAAGAAAGGAGTTGCTTCCAAAAATGGAATGTGCTCTTCTGTACACAATAGCCAAAAGTGTAGGAAACATTTTTTACTAACACTCCACGTGCACACCTGGTAAATGGTTTGATTATTGTTATCGAGCCTCTGGCTTTTGTAGCTAGACCATGCACTAAACTGGCAAATACCAGTGTTCACAAATTACCTAAATTAAGTCTGGGTCACGCATCTCATCTCCTGTTTCTTGTTTGCTTTAAATGAATCCAAAAGTACTGCTAACAGCTGGAATCCCTGCTGAGGCCAGCTTGATCTGCTCTGGAGCTGCTCCAGCCATTGCTCTGATAAAACTTGATATCGTTTCTACAGTCTCTAGGAGGACCAGAATGATTTCCCTTCATTGTTCAAGGTTTCATTCAAATATTCACTGTGCCAGGAAAAAGGATATTTCACTTCTGCTTTTCTTCTTTCGCTACTGCTACTAGAAAACCTTTTTCTCTTTGCTTATTTGAAGGTTAAGCTATAGTGTGGCTCCTGCTTTAGGATTCTGTGGGAATTGTTCCACTTAATCTCCAGGGACAGAGTGTTGCAGTTGCAAAAGGTGCACAGTGTAAATAAATAAATTATGCATCAATGTTGGAGACAAAGCACATGTTCTGCTAAGAGAACATATTATGTGGGGGAGGCCAGGGAAAACTCTGGCCTTTTGCCTAGAATTCCGTAGTAAATAAAGCACCTAAATTCCTTTTAGAATCTGCCTTTCAGTCTGCTGTTCAGTAGCTTTTTGTCTGTGGCATTAAAAATAGTAGTAATATTGGATTGATTTTTAGGCAGTTCAGTAATCTTGGAGTAATGTCTACTCTTCAGAGAGAGACTTAAGGCCACTACAATTTTGTATTGTACATTGACTTAAAAACAAGGTATTATCAGTCCCCAGAGTTGTATTCCCATCACACATCATCCCTCTGGTGTGATGAGCAGGGCTCTGCCGAGCTGGGGCTCGCTGGTGGTGCAGGTGCCCGTGCCCTTGGCCTCCTCCCTGCCCGACTGTCAGAGTCGCTGCTCCTCTCCTTTGTACTCTTAGTTCTCAGGATGTGTTGGGTTTGCAGGACATGGTTCCGGTAGCTGAGAGGCTACCAGGGTTGTTTTTGTGAGAAGCTGCCAGAAGCTTCCCCCATGTCCAGCAGAGCCAATGCCAGCTGGGTACAAGACGGACCCACCACTGCCCAAGTAGAGAACTTGGGAGGGAAGCTGAGTCTGGGCAGAAGGGAGGGTTAGAGGGAAGGTGTCTTAAGGTTTGGTTTTATTTCTTGCTATCCTACTCTGATTTGATTTGCAGTAAATTAAGTTAGCTTCCCCAGGTCTAGTCTGTTGTGCCTGTGACAGTAACTGGCGAGTGATCTCTCCTTATCCTTATCAACCCATGAGCCTTTTGTTACATTTTCTTTCCTTGCTCAGTTGAGAAGGGGAGTGATGGAGCAGCTTCAGGGGCATGAGGGTCATGTTTCCCAGTGTATGAAGATCCCATTTTGCAAAAGGTTACTATTTTAATTGTTAGACCTAATGCAGCTCACTGTGCGTGGGGTAGGTGGAGGTCTGCATGAGGTGCTGTGCTAGTAACTGGGATGGAGGAATGCACAAGGTGGGTTATCCTCCCCTGTGAGGGTACAGCTCCCTCAGACCATTTTTACATTGCAGGTACAGCTGATTTATGGTTTCCATCAGACTTAAGCCCTTAACAAACTTGTTTCAAGAACTATGCTGTAGGCTGGCCCTTACTGCTATTATCAGGCTGATAGTGAAATGTCGGGCAACTCTGGAGCCATTTGTAATGGCAGAGTGACCACAGAGCAGACAGGATCTACAGCAAGGCATCTACCTTAACTGCCAGGTGTGATGGAAGAGAGCTTATTACTTGGAATTAAAAGTACTTGCTTTTGTTTGGTATGATGTCCTGACCCTGCAGGCCTCTAGTCTCTAGGCATCTGTGGCCTGAGGTGTGGAGAGCGGGTCCTGGTGACTTACTGCTGCCTGCAGGTACTGTTCTGCTGCTTGTTGTGGGGAGGAAGGTTAATTCACACCTGGCTGACTCCTGTGGATAGATTTTGATCTTGGTAGCAGAGAGTTCAAGGGACCCACTGCGCTGGCTGGCAGTAGCTTCTGTGCTGGTGTTGGCACAGTAAAATTTCCTTGTGATTAAACCAGCATGTGCTATGCTGTAATGGTCATGTCCCATGAGAACAGCATACCTTTTGCATGTGCTTGGAAGAAGAAAACAAGAGTTCTAGGGTTCCTAGATAAAAATTTCAATTGCTCTTAGTAAAGCCAAAACCGTCAATCTCCAGCTATCAATTACATTATCAGCTGTGCATATGAGTTCATTGGAGCAGGTCATGCAAATGGTGTACAGTCATATCCTCATTCTGTGGGACAGCATGTAAAATACTGCCATATCTGAAGTTAGGGTTTTATGGTCTGAATGGAAAAGTAGATGGGTAAAATTCTGATTGGATGGTTGGACTTGTAGGGTCATGGTCAATCAGATGTATTATACCTGGAGGTTGCTACCAAATGGGGCACCACAGGGATCCGTCGTGGGACCTGCTGCGTTAAGCACCTTTATTTATCAGTAATGTGAAACAGGTGGCAGAGTGTACTCTTCAGCTGTGCAGAAGACACCAGACTGAGTGGGACCATTTGATGCCCTTGAGGGCAAGGCTGCCACTAAAAGGAAACCCGATAGATCGGGGAAACAGGCCAGCAGGAACCTTATGAAATTTAACATGGGCAAATCTGACTCCTGCCCCTGGGAAGGAAAGGCCCATTGCAGAAGAACAAGTTAGGGACTGCCAGCAGCTCTGCTCCCCAGGGAAACCTGGGAACCCTTAGGTCATCCTGGTGGACAGTGAGTTGAATTTGAGCCTATAGTGTGCTTCCTGCACAACTTCTTTATGGGAGCACAGCACATAGATTGAGGAGTGATAATTGCTCTCTCCTCATCTCTGTGGAAACCACACCTGAACACTATCTGCAGTTTTTCAACTGAATTTAGTCCATCACTTCCCATCACTCTTGCTGCTAATACTGGCAAGCAATCTGGAGATGTCAGGGGAGTGAGAACAAGAGTTCTATTGCAACAGCTTTTAGGGGTGATTGGTATCACTGCCAAGTAGCCCCAATAGTGAAGAGTGACTGAGACAAAGATCTAGTACCCTACCAGCAGTCTCACCTGCTCTTCCCTGCATCCTGCTTAGATTGCTAATCAAGTCAACTAAGTTTAATATGTTTTTGCTGTAAAAAACCCTTTAAGACCTTTTAAGATTGTCATGTGGTTTGGAGTAATGCATGTTAGGCTTATCTCATCATTCAAGGTGAAATTTAAACCATGAATTAAGTGATTGTATCAACAAGTCTGAAGATGATCAAAGAGAGAAGTATGCTCTGAAAGCTGTTTGGTTAGTTCTGTGGTTCAGTCTGTGAAAGCAAACATACACTGCCCTGTGTGCAAACACAGCGCAAAGGAGTTGCTGCTTTTTGCAGACTTTGCTCTATGGACTTTTACCAACACCTCCTGGGGACCCTCACTCTGAGTTGGACATAGAGGTGTATATGACAATGACTGGATGATATGAATAGAGGAGGATGGTGGTAGTAAAGCATGACATCCTGGGATTGCTTTCTACTTTCATAATGACTGGAAAATCAGTTTTGTGATGACTGCTTATCTGTAGGAACCCAAGCAAATTTCAGCTGAAACTGCCTCAAAGTCACGTAGGTTGTAACAAGCTTGTACAATGCATACTAGTGCCCTAGTTTAATTTTTCCCCCCATTTATTTTAGTGAATTATGAAGGGTATTTATTTTCCAGTTTTGAATTTCACAGTGGCTGAGCTGTCCTGTGAAAGACATTTGTGCAGAGATACCTTCAGGTGATGTCTGCTCTAGGTTTTGGATTGATCATTTGAAAAGTACTGAGTGAAACTGGTGGTGGGAGGATGCTTAGCAAATTAAAACTGAAGGTAGGCGTCTTGTAGAATTAATTATTTTACAACCTGTATCTTTCAGGCTATGGTTGCTTGCTATCCTGGAAATGGAACTGGGTATGTTCGTCATGTGGACAATCCAAATGGTGACGGGCGCTGCATCACCTGTATTTATTACCTGAATAAGAACTGGGACTCCAAGGTGAGTAAGCCAAGGGGTTGAGGCAGAACAGGAAGGAAAAACTACTTCGGAAGCAGAGCTTCAGAGCTGTCTGTTGTTTCTGTGAACTCTGATGAACTTCTGAACTGCTGGTCCATTCTTCATCTCTTTTTTTTTTTTTTTTCTTTTTTTTTCCCCCTCTGGGTGTTGTTTGCAATGCTTTGGAAGTAAGAATCTGAACTGTTTCCTTATTGTCCTCTCTCCCATTCTACACACATACTGTTTTGTTGCTATAGAATAAAGCTATAAGCACTGGGCTGTATGCTCTTAACACTTTTGTAGGGGAAACAGCAGAAAAAGAAAATAAATTCACTACAGAATAAGTGGATTCTGGAAGAAGAGTAAAATGACAGCCCAAATCTGTGACTTTATCATTCTTGATACTTCAGGCTAACCTGCAGAAGATATTCAGGCAGTTCACTTTTCTTATTTGTGAGGCAGCGGGACTTAGGAAGAGGAACAAACACATGATTTGATTCCACCAGTGGGTCTCTTGACAGGATGGAACTCTTGTTTCTGCCTATATTACTATAAAGCAGTTAAGTCAGCCTTGAATGTGCCATACCTTTAAATCAGAAACAAAAGAAGGGTTTGTAAAATTGCAGGATGTCTCTTTGCAAGTCTGTTGTAATGCAGCACAAACTGTTCATGGGGTTTATTGACTGAAAATTGTCCCATGTTTTTGGTTCTCTAACCTCTTTTTAGGCCAATATGCTCTTTAAGCACATGTAAATACTATGAATCCCTGTAAGTGAGTTCAGATACAGAGGCAATGCCATTGAAAAATGCAGTGTTGCAGAAAAGCACATCCTGTTACAGAGAGTATGACAGTAAAACATCTCAAAGTAATAAAATGGAGGAAATGTGGGAGGAAATGCAAATATCCAGTTTATTTTGTGTGTTGCACCCTTATCCAAATAGTGAGGAGGCGCCCAAGTGAGCACTAAGAAAAGCTAACTGAAATGCAGGGCACTGATGGAGTTTATTATGTAGAAGTGACAGTGATTTTATATAAATGTATAAAATATGAGAGTATAATTGGGCTTTGAAAGTCACCATGTGGTTGTTAAACCTGACTTAATGGTTTCTCACTGAGGTCTGCATGTGGCATGGAGGTACCATGTCAGGTTAGCGCTGCACTGACAGCATCTTCCCTGCACTCTGTGATGCAGCGTTGAAGTCTCCAAAGAGTCCTCTAACAGCAGCAGCAGGAGGCAGGGTTCATCTTCGTCTTTTGAAGTTTCTGGAGTGTGTGCAGATCACCAGACCTTTTCCCTGAAAATCATGGCACATGGAAAGACAGAAATTATATGGTAGAGAAACCATAGGGAAACCATTTCCAGTAGGGAAATGATGGCTGGGATCTATAATACATTCGAGAAGTTTTACAGATCTTAACAATAGAACAGACTTCACTCTTCTCAGGGTGTAAAAGTTAATTCCTAAATGATCACGCATGGGTTGTGAAACACCATTAGCAGTATCTAACAATTGTTGGGGAGAGACCCTGATCTCAGACTGGTCAGGTAGAGCAGCTCTGTGTTATTCACTGGTTATAGAAATGTGACTGGAATCTCAGAAGTTTCTCAGTGTTTGCTGCAGAGTTGGTGTTACCTTGGTTCGTTTGCTTCAGACAGAAGCTTACACTGAAACGTTACAAACAAAACTGTTTGGTAAAATCAAAGTGGCCAAGAGACACAGTAAAGTTTTCCAGTATTGTCACGTAGTTGTCACGTTTATCATTAGATGTTTATTCCCCATTTGATGAGTGTGGAGGAGGAAGAAATAAGTCATTTTTCATGTGAATGTGTGGCTGTTTATATGTGCAAAAAACAATCTTTCCTTTTCTTTCAGCTGCATGGTGGAATTCTTCGAATATTCCCAGAAGGAAAGTCCTATGTAGCAGATGTTGAGCCGATTTTTGACCGATTACTTTTTTTTTGGTCAGATCGAAGGAACCCACATGAAGTCCAGCCTTCTTATGCAACCAGGTAAATAGCACATTTAATATTGGTTTTGGCTAGGAAAAAGCCCAAAGAATCTCTTCTACAATTATTTTTATCCAAAATTATAGCCATCATCTTAAAATACATGTGCATAAAAAATAGAGAGATATGTTGAGTGAATTTGCTGGTTTTGAGTAATTGGGAATTCTCTCATTAAGTAAGGAGGAGCAAGCTCGAATGATACATATCCTCGTGTGCTGGAAAAAAAGCCCTTAACCATTGACAGGAGAAATCTTCCAAGCTGGGCACAGCTATTTAGCTGGGAGGTGCTGGGTTATTCTTTTGCCCTTGTAGCACTGTAGGGATTGTTGGGGCTACCATCTGTCACAGTAGGCTGTGAGAAGCTGGTGTGATGCAGGGCAGTCCCCAAGCTGCCTACAGGCATCTCTGAACAGAAAAACATGCAAAGGTCTGGAAGCTACTTTTGCCCTCTGTTACCAGGGGCTGTGCTCTCTTTTGTGCCTCCAGCAGAAATTCTCACCTACATTTCTATCTGACTTGTTAAAATACACACTAAAATGCTGTCTGTGTTTGCATATAAAGATGTGTCATTTTCATTCTACTTCTCTAGTCTAGTAATACAGTTTTGTTTTTGCTTTTTCCACGAGCATAAAACTCCAGTGCTCTGTTTTAATATCAAAAGTGGGAAGGAATGCAAGGTTTCTTTCTTTTATAGGTATGCCATGACTGTGTGGTATTTTGATGCCGAAGAAAGAGCAGAAGCCAAAAAGAAGTTCAGGAACTTAACCGGTATGACTTTTTTTATACATGTTCACCAGAGAGAATTTAATGCATTTTAATATTACCAAAGTCAGAGACAGGTTCTGTAGCTACAAGCATATGTAATGTATTTTTAAAAAGCTTTTTCACCTCTAATTTCTAGTCAGTTTTGTGGAGAAGTTGTGACAGAAGATTCAGGCCTGGCCCTATAATCCCTGATGAACAAAATGGGGAGAATGGGAGAGACAGTTTCTGATTTGAGTTCCAAATGACTGAGATTTTTTTTTTCCCTACCCCATGTGGCTACTCCAGTCACAGGGAGTCAGCTCTTTTGTTACTTGGGAGGTATATTTTTGCTCCTCTAAACCCTGTTTAGTACCCTGTTTAGACTTTCACAGCAAGTTTAATAATTGTGTTCTCTAAATGTTCTGAATAGGGTCTGTCTTCTGTATTAGTAAAGGGCAGAAGCCCACAAAGAGGTGACACAGCTTTCTAATGGCAGCCACACTGCCTGCTGCTGTAGTAATGGCATATGAGTCATGGACTGAGTTGTCCAGATGTGTTCCAGCACCCTACCTGGGACCATGAGCTAAGATTTGCTATTCAGACCAGTTTAAGATCTGATATTCAGGGGCTACCTCCTCAAAATACAGTGTGGAGAGCATTTGTCTTTTTAAGAATGTGTGCAGCTGGGCAAAGTTGTAGTCAAATGACTTTCAGAACAGACTGTTGTCATCTCTGTAGCTTATATGCAAAGCACATGCTGGTTTCACCCTTAAAGAGGATCATGAAAAAGGGGCCAAGAAGAGGCAGGGGGAAATATCACTGATCTAGGGTCACAGAGTTTGTTGGGCTGCTTAAGTACTGCATGAATCAGTTTGAACATGACAAATGTACAAGATCTCTGTGTGACTGTCCTTGTTAACATGCTGTGGTATCATGTAGCAGTTCAGTCCACATAGTGGATTCATGCCATGATTCTGAAATGGAAAGTGTTGTCCACTGACAATAAGCCAACTTTTTTCTGTTTCTAGTTTTCAGTCGAATATAGTCAGAACCCCCTGATTTAACTCCCTGCTTTTTTTCCTTTTTGATGTAGATGCGAGGAAGAGAGAAGCACCTCTTAATGAAGACTAATCAACTGTTCATGAACTCTTTGTGAGAAATAAGATCCCAAAGATGACTTCCATTTCCAGCAAATAAGGGCAAAACATTTTTATGCACAAGAATGCACTGGTTGTGTCTAGCATGTGCATCTTACACTGATGGTACTCAAGGCAGCCTCCTGTCATGCTGCATCTGGTAGAAGAAAGACTTGTTTGCTCTTTGCCTTTTGCTGGAAAAAATAACCAGGGTTTAAAAAAAAAAAGAGTATGTGATACTCAAGCCTAGTGGTAGTGGCTCAGCCAATTGGCTTTTGATCACTCTTGTAACTAAGATAATGGTCATTGGAACTAGTGATAAAAAACTGAGTCTTATTTGCACTTTATGGGGAAAAAGAGTTCTAGTTCAATGGGAAGAAGCCTTGCAAGTTTAAAATCAGTTGGCAGACTGCTAATGGGCACAGAGATTAATTGGACATGGGAAATAAAATCAGATATCTGTAGAGTGTCATTTTATGGTCTGTCCCAAATGGACCTGTTGATGTATTGTTCATCATTTTGCTGCACAGAACATTGGTTCAGCTCTTCAGTAACATGACTTCCCAGATGTTTGTCTACACAGTCATCACATTTTCTGGATTTTGTCTGCTCTTCAAGAGGCACTAGCTAGTGCAGCTGTACTGTCCTTTGTGTCTCAGTACTGAGGGGAAAATAATTATGTATCTGTTCACAATTTCATAAAACCCTTTTTTTCCTGTTTTGAGCAGGATGAGTTGTATCTTTTCTATTTTCACAGTTTGGTAAAGCAGCTGTTTTCTCCCAAAAGTCTGGTAAACTTGGAAGGCTTATGGCACACAATGCATTGGCCCTTAAGGCCAGTGATTTGTAGAGAAGTGTTTGCTTTGCGACTTCTCCATCTGCTATGTTCTCTGTGAAATAGATATGAATCTGAAAGGAAAAGATATGTCTGGCAGTCTGACAAATATATGATAAATAATGGGTAACTTAGACTTGATTTTTATGCTGCATATTCTTAGTGAACACACTTGTTTAATTTCGCATGCATATGTAATTTGAATGAAACTGCAATTCTTTTTCAATTGATCTGTGATGCCAGGTAACTACTACTGCTGTGCCTAAGCTCTGAGATCAGAGTTTTTCAATGGCAAAGCACACATTTTATTTCTCCATTATTTTTTTAAAACTTATTAGACTCAATGAATGAGTAACTGGTGACCTGTTTCCAATCTGTCTAAACTTCTACAACCAGCACTTACTATACAGTTCAGAATAGCTCTTAATGAAGCTGGGAACTGGCAGTGGATGTATTTATCACTCACACTAATTGTTCTCAACCTAATACACTCACTTGCATTCATTTTTATCTGTCTGTGTGTATGTCAGGCCCTATTAAATGCTCCAAATAGATGCCCCCTTCAGTGTTCCATATTTTCCTGTTCCACCTGCCCATGGTGGTGAAGGTGGTGTGTCTGAACCGCCGGCCCCTGCAGCGCTTCCCCATGCTCTGCTGGGTTGTTGTGCTGTGATGGGGCTGCACTTGAGCCAGGGAATGGAAAAGTAGTGTGCTATGGCAACTGTTAAATGTCAGTGATAGAAAGGTAACAGCTGCATAGGACAGAAAAGAAATAACTTTCATGACATAAAAAATGATAATCAAAAATGGAGTGGTTTTTTTTAAGCAGTTTTATATCTTAAAGAGAAAGAAAAGCTGAGCATCCTTCAGCCTGCCCATGAATGCTGGATGTAAATACAGCAGTGCTAAGAAACCCCTTATTCTCTCTGTTTTCTCCCAGAGATCCAGCTCTGGTCTTAAAGGCCTAACTAACCACTGTGCACCTTAAGAGAGGAATATGAGGGAACATGTGTGACAAATATTCTTACAACTCAAGACTAGAAAAAGATGAAGAACATGATAAATGTCCTTTAATGCTAGGAAAAAACATTCTTCTACTACAGTTGCTTCTAAATAACACACCAGGGACTCGACAGAAACATAGTGATAACTTGAAATTCTCATTCTGAAATATACTTGTGGGAGGCAAAAGAGCTTGGGCTCTTGAGAGTGAGAGAGTAACCCTTTGAGAGGTGTTGGAAAATACAGCATTACTATTTAGAGAAGGTGATGGAGTACAGCCTGTTGTATTACTAGGCAAAGTTGATAATGGCACATAAATTTGAAACTCCAACATGATTTTGAAAGGAGGAAAGCCAGATAAAACAGAGCAAATACTGCTTTGCCTCTAGAAACTGTAACCTTAAAAATAAACTAGAAAGCATTGTTAGTACACATCTTACTGGAGCCTGGAATAGTAGAAAAACAATGTGGTGGAAGGGGGAAAGCTTTGTGTAAGGGCTGAAAAAGGAAGGTACTTCAGTTATCACTGTTGCTACCACCAGGTTTCTGCAGCGGTCAGCAACAGGTGTGGTGCATGGAGCAGAATAGTTGCATTTATTGTAAAAAAAGTACATCTTTTCATTTTTAGCCAATATCTTCCTCATCTATATTACATGTTTAAAAGACAGAACAATTATTCTGTGGCAGAGAATGTTGTCTTTATTAACACTCGTAATCAAGTACAAAAAAAGTTGAGGTCTTGAGAGCTTGGAACTAATTCCTCAGTCCCCTGTTTCAGATTTCTACTTTGTTTCCAGTGTGATGATCTCCTTGAAGAAGCTGTAGTTTAACCGGGGATGGGGTGTAGGGGGGTGTTGGTCATGTAGGAATATACAGGTGTGATATTTCCTACATAGATTTCTCTTGCCTGTCTCTAGAATTGTTGCAAACTGCTCTGTAAGAGTGAAATTATCTGTCTGTGAGGGAAGCAGGCTGCTACAGTGGGGAGGGTATTTCAAAGAGGCTTTTTCCTTGTGTTTTCTCTTCATAGTAAGCTGTTTAAATCAAATGGCTAAGCAGCACTTGTCAGCCAGTTGTGAAAAGGAATGTTTTATCTAAGGCATTTAACTTTTTAAAAAACATGGTTGCCTTTTCAATTGCATGGGAAAATGTGCAGAGCCACAAAGCTGCAGTTTTCAACTGGAGGTTTTTGCTGTACAGGGAGGAAAAAAGGCCAGGAATCAGTGCTGAAAATTAAGAGACTGCTTTTATTCTTAAATCTGTGACCACTGGCCTTTTGAGCAAAGTAGCCTCTAATAAGTCTTTTTCTCTAGATTACTTCTGGTTCTATGAAGAATGACTTTTACAAAATAGTGTCTAAAAAGTTCCGCTCTTTTTTTCCCTTCTATTTTTAAACAGTTTTAGTCCTTTGTGTTTTTTAAAATGTTGGAATATGTTATATGTATTTCTTGTTGTTGCAAAATAGCTGGCTCTAACACCACTTGCATCTAGAAGAAAATGTGTCTATTTGCAGGCAAATGACTAGTTCTACTTTGACTGTGATGTACTCCCAGCAGATATCTGAGAGTGAGTTATGATTACATCTTCTCTTGTCAGGTTGTATGCTGGTCAACAATGCTGGCACTTTGCATTGGATTAATGTAGAAACCCTTAGTAGTATTTTACCACACATCACATTTGGTGTTCCTGTTACTATTAAAAAAAAAATGTTGCAGGAGTCAATAAACACTGGGTCATGTTAAACACTGTCCTGTGCAAATCTCTTCAGTTTTGTGCCTTACTGTGGCCAGGGGTGCAAGGGATGGGTGCAGTGCCACGCAGCTGCATGTAGGGTGACACTGGAATCTGTATTCACAACTGTCTTCTGCTGTTGGAGAGACCTTTTTTTGTTGCCCTCAGCTTGGCACATTTCCTTGGTCACTTCCTGCTATTTTGAAGTTATTTACCTTGCTAGTGACCCTCTTCTTGAAATGCCTATTTGTTTTCATGCTCCTGTTGAACCAGATAACATTCTCACGATTGAATTGTTGTCTGATAAGTTTTATTTTTAACACTGTTCACATCCTCCCCCTGCTACTTTTCCAGTCTGAATCCCACAGTTTTCTCCTGTGGCTTGTGGGAGACTTCTCCTCACTCCCACTAACAGTGCAGTTGAATGAAAGCCAGGGCATTTTCACTCATTTGGTAGAGCTGTGAACTTTCTGATTCCTTTGCAATCTTATGAATGGTGAGAATTTCCCTTTTCCAATTTAAAACATGGTTTCTGTCATGGAGGGCTTGGATTTGACTTGTGGGGTTTTTTTGCTAGAGAGAGAAGAGATGTCTAAATAATTTGCCATTTATTTAAGCATTTCTTTTAGACTGAGGAGTTCTTAGAGCATAGGGAGAAGACCTATGGAAAGCAGAGGGGTTTCTCTTCTGAGCTTACTCCTCAAAGACTAAAGGTTTTTAGGGACAGCTTGAGAAGAAGCTGGCCATTGGCCATCCAGCTGCCAAGGACTTTGAACTCTGACTAAACTTTCTCTAAGCAAATATGTTTGCAGTAATTGTTATCTTACAGCTATTTAGGGGTTTTCTTCCTCCCCCACCTACCCAAAGGGATATGGCTAAATATATTTGTACTGACAATTCTCATGACTCTTGAGAATGCATCTGATATCAGAGGTTGCACTGAAAATTGCAAAAGAGCATGACAGTGGAAGAGAGGTTAGTAAAAATTGATTCCTCTTTCCCACATAATGGTGTCTCTATGGAGAACTTCCACTTCAGAGAATTGGTTAAAACTCCCATCCTCTTCCACAAGGCATAGATAGAGTTTTTTGTCTGTCTTGTGGAAAGCAGGGATAATTTCATCTGCATATGTGCTTATTTTAAACAAAGCTGGAGATGCTAAATAAACCCAGATGCTGGGTCAAGTGCAGTCAACAGCAGTTCTTACGTGGTGGCAGAGTCAATGCCAGCATGCCCAGTGCTTTTTTGCTGGGCACCCACAGTCTTTCTGCTAGAGAGGAGGAAGTTTGTGATCCCTGATCTTAGCCAACACCCTGGGCCTGATTTGACAGGGAGGGGAGTCAAGAGTGTACATGGCCCTTAAAAGCCTGCTGTGTGGGGGGCTGGTGAGAAGCATGGGAAGAAAGACCCTGTATTCCAGACTAGTAGAGCTCCGAAAAATCACTCATGGCAACGTGGGTTCACAGCTCCCATCAGGCTGCTGAGCAGAGGGAGCAGAGCAGAGAAGCTGCTTCTGAAGCCAGGCCCAAGTTGTCCCCAAGGAGAGTGCCTAGCTCTGAGCACACACCATGGCAGCCCATGCTGTCTGGTCACTCCTGCTCTTCTGGATGGGTTATCTCTTTTGTGGCAGAGGATGTCAAGGTGTTAAAGTGGGTGAGAGACAGTGGTTTACTGTCGTTGTGCCATCTTGCTGAACCAAGAAGTTGATTAGCTTCCTAAAGGGGGTTTGGCACTCCTCTGCAGCAGCCGGAGGTTGTCAAGGACACAGTGCTGATCCTCTTGTGCCTAGGGGAGGTCTGATTAGAATGTAATCTTGGTGGGGTTGATGTGGCATGCCGTGCCAGCAGGTTGCTTTTGATTTACTAAACACTGTATTTCATGCCAGCTTTGACACCTGTCCCACCTATGCAGTGGTTCAGTGGATGATCTGTGTTCATGACTGTGATACATGGCAACACACCACTGCACGCTCTAAGCAAGGGAGAAAATTCAGCTGTTCAGAGGTACCACCTACTTCTTTAATAAGAAGAAAAAAATCAAGGAAGAAGAAGAAAAAAAAAGACATCTGAACAGACATTTAATTGTCAAAGGAAGAGTCTTAACAGACTTAAGCTCGGCTGTCTTCAGAGAGTTTTCGAAAGCATACTGCAAACACTTCTGTTTCAAAGCTTATGCTCCTTTATCTATGAGAAGCTGAACACTGGCTAATTCTTTAATTAGCTCCCAACAAGATGTTTTTCTCTGTAGCCAAGGCTTGCTACAGGATAATTATGTCTTTAGTTTAAAAACAAGTGTCAATACAGAAAGTTGTTTTGATTTTTATTTCTTCATGTATTTTGCCTTCTACTTAGCTTCTACCCTCTTCATTCTCACCTGAAATATCTTTCCTTGATTTGAGAAAAGTTGATTATTTTTATCTCCCTTTTAGCTGCATGAATGGATGTGACAGGGCCAAGCCAGTGCTGTGGTCTGGGTGCAATTGTAAGAGTGCTGTGCTTGGGTCTCTCCCAGGGCCAAGGAGATGGGGGAACCTGAGCCACCATCAGTTAAGCAGCTCAGCTTCTTAAATTGTAATAACCATGGGGCTGTGGGTATCCAAGTGCTACACTGCATGCCAAAGATCTACATTTGGAGCTTCCCAACCTCCTGCCTACAACCACAGTCATTTACACTTATTTTAGCAGAGTTCTCAGAGCAGCAACAGATCTCATGCACATTTGTCAAGAGCTGCCTAGGTCATGACAGGGCTGAGTGGGCAGAAATCTTCTAGGCCTGAATCGTACGTGGATGCTGTGGTTTAACCCCAGCTCAAGTACCACAG